CCTATGGACTAACGCCAGAAGTGCATTACTAAGCACTAAGAGCTTTTAGAAGAGAAAATCTAAGTTCAAGTTAGCTTTCCAGGTAAATCTTTAACAATAAATTTCAAATAAGAAAATAACAACGACCAAACAGGCCTATTTTTTCGCACACTCTTTTCATGAAATGAATACAGTTATTAGTTTGATTATGTTGTATATTTTTGTTAATCTACGATTTCCACTTCCAAACAGTATATCGAAGATTTTACTCGTGATAGAAGTGCATTATGCAGCTTTCAATCACATATCTAACATCATCCAAGTGACCAGTAGCAATTCTATAAATAATCTCGTCAAATATCAATCGATCTGTCTTTGTCGATCTTTCTAAATTGAAAATTGATAATTTCTACTGATACAACCTATACATACAACAACCTCCAAACCGTAAATCCTCAGAATTACCACAAAGTTTGGTTTGTTAATAATAAATTTGGCTCTATAAACACTAGTACAGGCTCTACAAATTACTCTACAGTTGTATTCCTAAGACAGAAAATAGACTAGAATGGCTCAATAAGACTAGAACAAAGACAGATCTCTAACTCAACTCTGTACAACCCATGCTAATGTAGTACCAGATGCATAAATAATACATTGACCAAATTTTAATTCACATTTTAGTAACAACTTCCGTTACTGGAGCGCTAATTCTCATATCAGCAAAATTATCGGCTCGAGTTGGCCCGATATTCACTATATACACAGGTTTTCCCTCAAGTTTAGCGTACCAAGCATAGCGATATCCAGACATGACTTGCAGCGAGGAGCCCAGCACAAGAATTCCCGTGCATTCTTCGAGCTGAAGGCGGAAATATGAACTTGCATATCTCATCCAAGAAAAAAATCCAGAAAAAACACTACAGAAGTAGTAAGGAATGGATTAAGCTGCAATAAGAAAAGATAAGCAAATTACCTTCTCCCAACACTCATCAGCAACCTGACGAGGAATATTATCACCAAAAAACACGACATCCGTCTTCAAAACTCCACCGCATTTTTGACACGATGGAAGGACAAACGACTGAAAGTATGATGACTGTGAACTTTGCACTTCATATCAAACTCAACT